GTGCCCAGAATGAGGGCATGTGAGGGACAGACTGTGTGGCTTGCGTGCCCAGAATGAGGGCATGTGAGGGACAGACTGTGTGGCATGCGTGCCCAGAATGAGGGCATGTGAGGGGCAGACTGTGTGGCATGCGTGCCCAGAATGAGGGCATGTGAGGGACAGACTGTGTGGCATGCGTGCCCAGAATGAGGGCATGTGAGGGACAGACTGTGTAGCATGAGTGCCCAGAATGAGGGCATGTGAGGGACAGACTGTGTAGCATGAGTGCCCAGAATGAGGGCATGTGAGGGACAGACTGTGTGGCGTGAGTGCCCTGAATGAGGGCATGTGAGGGACAGACTGTGTGGCGTGAGTGCCCTGAATGAGGGCATGTGAGGGGCAGACTGTGTGGCATGCGTGCCCAGAATGAGGGCATGTGAGGGAAGCAGCAGCCTGCACCGAGCAGTAGCAGCCTGCGCCGAGCAGCAGCCTGCGCCGAGCAGCAGCCTGCGCCGAGCAGCAGCAGCCTGCGCCGAGCAGCAGCAGCCTGTGCCGAGCAGCAGCAGCCTGCGCCGAGCAGCAGCAGCCTGCACCGAGCAGCAGCCTGCGCCGAGCAGCAGCCTGCGCCGAGCAGCAGCCTGCACCGAGCAGCAGCCTGCGCCGAGCAGCAGCAGCCTGTGCCGAGCAGCAGCCTGCGCCGAGCAACGCCGAGCAGCAGCCTGTGTCGTGCAGCAGCCTGCGCCGAGCAGCAGCAGCCTGCGCCGAGCAGCAGCCTCCGCCGAGCAGCAGCCTGCGCCGAGCAGCAGCCTCCGCCGAGCAGCAGCCTGTGTCGTGCAGCAGCCTGTGTCGTGCAGTAGCTAGGTATCATAATTATTGAGTTTAATTTTAATTATAATTATAACTTATCATATTAAGCAATACTGGAAATCCCATTAAAATCTATAGATATTTTAGTCTTCAGTTTGCCGAATTTCCAACGGACCGAAAAATAGTATGAAGAAACAAGGAAGGAAAAGAATGATGGGGAGTCATTAGGATAATTAAGAATAATATAATAATAAATAGTGATGGAAAGTATTGATAGGATATATGTGAAAGACACGAATAAGAAATGTCATGATTCGCTATAAAAAATATCAAGCACCAATAATTATCCCCGTACATTGCCCACACTCTGAATAATGAATGGGTCATGTTGCCTAAATAGTGACACCCTTTCAGCACGTAGCACTGACACGACCTTCACATAAACTGGGTCAGGGTGACGCTAGAAGAAAAAGCGCATTGTTTTTTGGACCAAGTCTCCTTCATTTCTCTGAGTGACTCTCATTCTCTTATCTGGCTCTGCGTCACGGGCTTCTTTATTATTTCAATTAATATTACTAATTATAAACTGTTATTTATTATCATTCCAATTAATATTATTTTTAGCCGTTATTTATTATTAATTAAATTAATATTAGTAATTATAAGCCGTTATTTATTATTTCACTTAACATTGTTAATTATACGCCGTTATTTATTATATTTCAATTAATATTAGTTATGATGAGCTGTTATTGTGCACACTTGACCACCGCTTGTCTAGCCACGTCGTCTGCCAAGCGCGTGGCCTTGAAAACGTGACAACTCGGGCGTGTAGTGGGCGCTAGAAACTGTCGCTCTCAGTGTTACGTGAGCGATTCTGGGCCCGCTTGGCAGCCTGAGGCCCGCTTGGCAGCG